CCACATATTAATATATACACGTTTATTTAGCTCTTGCCTCTGCAGGGTTCAGATGGTCTATGCTGAGTATGATCATGCATCTTCACTCAACTGAACATCTGGCATGTTCCTGTGCAAACTAGGATAGGCTTACACACATTGGTAGAGTAACCATCATTAGCTAATCTAGGATGGCTTTGGCTAGGTGACTAGGGCCTTCCAGTTCTCTCCCTGTATCTCTCATTCTGTATCAGCTAGTCCACACTCATTTTCATAATGATGGCAGAGGAAAGTAAGAACAATCAGAACTGCACCAACACTTTTTAAAGTTCTACTTACGTCAGGTTTACTATTGTCCATTGTCCAAATCAAGACATTTAGACAAATCCAGAGTCAGAGAGGGAGAGACCTACAAAATTACACAGCAAAAATCATGGCTATATTGATTGATGACAAACTGGGATCAGATTTGTTTTATTGTTTGTCTTGTACAAGCATTCGTTCATAGTGTCTGAATCTGAGCCCTTGATTTTCCTAATAAAGTCTGCTATTTTCGGTTTCCCTTCTTAATAAGTGACACTATTATTCACTCTGCTGCTTAGACCAAAACACCTTATTTCCAACCCCACAGATAATTTTCAATGTCATTTGCACTTTCAAAATGTATTGTAAATCTGACCACTTATCACTGTCTCCATTTCTACCACAAGCTACCCTCTTCTTTACCTGTGCTACCTAAATAGTGTCTTAACTAATAGCCCTACTTGGCATCTTGCCCTCCTGCATTCTCCTCACCACACCTAGGTACAATTTAAATGTCAGTGAGACCACAACATCTTGTGCTCAAATCTCTCCAATGGCTTCCCCATCAGACATAAAATCTAACACCTTTACCATGACCTTTAAAGCTATACATGTCTTCTCACTAGCTACTTTCCCTACCTTATTTTTTCAATGGCATCTTTTTCCTATACAAATTCATGGAACTCTTAAGTTCTATCTAAAGACCTCACAAGGCTGCAGTAAATATACCCAATTAGAGTGTGGCAGTGGTTTTCAAATTGACCTCCAGGATGGTCTCTCTCTCTCTCTCCTCCCTTCTCCATCTCCATTGTCTTCCCACTTCTGCCCACCACCCTTACATCTTGTCATTTATGCAGCTCCCTTGAAGTGGAGTCAGAACTCATAACACTCTAGAAACATTATTTATATCTAGTTTGAGGACTTTATCGTTTACTGTTTTCTGTGTCTGATCAATTTTTCATTAATTTCTGTATAATTCAAACACCAAGGAAATTTAATAACTGCTTTAAACCTGTTGTTGCTTAATACTTTAGGATATCTAAAGTTGTTACCCATACATTAACTCATTTCATCTCTCTAAAATTGTGTAAGTACATGCTATTGTGTGAGTCCTTGCTGTCTTTAACTAGCATTTTCAATGAAGAAACCTAGACACAGAACAGTTTAGTCAGTTAAATTCAGAAAGCAAGTATGAGTTTATGGGACTAGAACCCGAGACACCTAGAAATATAAATGAAGGCTATTCTCTTGCAATAGAAAACCAATATAGCCATACCTTATAGTTCACTTGGTTTTCAGCATAAAAAAATAGTTACTGATAAAACAAAAATCAGTATATAATACACTGCTGCCCCAGGCAAAGGGAATTAGCATTAAATTATTACTTATGGTTCACAGACCTGAAAAGCTCAATCTTCCCATCATCTCAGGGAAAATGCATTATTGATGTAGGCCAGACATTCAAACAGGATATTTTCCTGGTAGGGAAAGATGATATGTTTGTTTACACCTAATCTCAGTATTGTTGTTAGTGGACTTTATGTGTTGAAACGGACTCAAAGTCCACTCAGAGACTCTATATAGGGTTTCTGAGGAGCACTGGTGAGTTGGAATTGTAAACCTTGTGGTTAGTAGTCCATAGGAAATAATTACTGCAAAAATACCTACCCCTATGTCACAGATACCTTGCTTTAAATGAAAAAAAAATCTGTCTGAATGGATTAGGGTACTACTCTCTGAGTTATTTATTCAATTAATTAGTGTTTCTGGATACATGGTTTCTGTCCTAGAAGCAGAACACACCATATTCCAAGAGTGGGGAAAGTGGAAAAGATGTTGAGCTTTCTCTATAAATATTTTACATAGAAATGACTCTCATAGGGTGTGCTGATGAGTAGCAGGGAATAAATGTGATGCTGTTTTCAAATCCTCAGAGGTTCCTACTAAACTATCTCATCCCGCTTGTTTTCCTGCTGGGTTTTTATCAAAACTAGTAATATAATCCTTTTAAATGTCTAGATTTCACCTATTAGCTGAGGAGCGGATCCCATCACTTGAAGTGAGGTAGAGTTGCTCAGAGTATTATATGAACATTTCAGACATCTAGCTGAAAGTATAGAATTTTGCACCCTAAAAAGGGCAGGTAGATCTTGGCTGAAAACAGATAATAACAGAAAGATGTTTACCTGTGCTTTATTGTGTGGATCATGACAAGGTATGGACAACATTGTGAAGAATGAGTATTCTGAAACACTTGATTGTGCTCATGAGGAACCTGTACATAGACCAAGAGGTAGTTGTGCAGACAGAACAAGGAAACACAGAATGGTTTAATATTAGGAAAGGTGTGCACCAGGATTGTATTGTTTTACCATACTTACTCAATCTGTATGCTGAGCAAATAATCCAAGAAGCTGGATTATATGAAGAAAAACGTGGCATCAGGATTAGAGGATGACTCAATAACACCCTGTGGTATGCAGATGACATAACCTTGCTTGCTGAAAGCGAAGATGACTTAAAGATATTTACTAAAGAAGATCAAAGATTTCAGCCTTTGGTATGAGTTGCATCTCAATGTAAAGAAAGCTGAAATCCTCATCAGTAGACCAATAAACAACATCAGGATAAGTGGAGAAAAGATTGCAGTTGTCAAAGACTTCATTTTTCTAAGATCAGCCATTGGTACTCATGGAGGCAGCAGTCAAGATTATCAGATGACATATTGCATTTGGCAAATATATTGCATAAGACCTCTTCAAAGTGTCGAAAAGCAAAGATGTCAGATTGAAAACGAAGTTGTACCTGACCCAAGACATGGTGTTTTCAGTAACCTCCTATGCATATAAAAGTTGGACAGTGAATAAGGAAGACCCTAGAAGAATTGATACATTTGAGCATTTGAGTTAAGGTGATGGAGGAGACTATTAAGAGTACCATGGACTGACAAAAGAACAAACCAAACTATATTGGAAGAAGTAGTCAGAATGCTCCTTGGAAGCCAGGATGGCCAGACTTTGTTTCTCATACTGTGGACATATTATCAGGAGGGAGCAGTCCCTGGAGAAGGTTATCATGTTTGGTAAAATGGATTAGCACAGTGCCAGCAACAATGGGTTCAGGCACAGCAATGATGGTGAGGTTGGTGTGGGACCAGGCAGTGTTTCAGTCTATTGTGCATAGGACCGCTATGAATTGGTACCAATTCAATGGCACTTGACAACAACATAAAGTATACACACACACACACACACAAAAAAAAAACCTATTAAAAAATGACTCAGTGGTAAAGATACAAGGGGGTTTCAAAATGTTTGTGGAAAAATTTTATCACCTTTTTATTCCATTTTTCCATGAACTTTTGAAGTCCTTTTGTAGTTTCAAGAAGGATTATCTATATTCTTTTGGAAAGGAAAGAAAAATAGGTGAACATTGTAAAGAACAGGTTTTAAGCAAATTTTATGTCCGGTTGTTTACATTTAATTGAGTTATTTTTCTCTTACCTCAGTGCCTCAAAATTGTTGCGATACTTTAGCCAAATGGGATATAGCATCTTTTCTGATGTTATAACCGATTTGAGTCTGCTTGGCCAGAATTCATGTTAACGAGGCCAAGGTCATAAGCCTGTCGTTTTTTTCAGAGACAGATAGTCTTGTTTTCCTAGTGTAATGACACAGGCCACAAATCAAGCCTATTACTCACTCAAATTTGCACCAATGGGTATAAGAGGAAGTGGATGAAAAAGTAATACAACAAACATAAAATTGCAGGGCTGGTAGCATCCCCAAACCATCATTCTTGGATGGTTTAATAGGAGAAAATAATTTCTTTCAGTCTTTGGACCTTTCATGAAGACACAAAATCTGTTTTTAGTCCCTTTGAGCTTATGAATGTATTTACTGTGTGCACTCATGTAAATGGCAGTACTATAAGCAAAGACCGTGTGAGAGCCACATATAACTTTAATTCAACCAGTATTTTTACTAGAAATTTAAAAGTCAGTTGCTGTCAATTTGATTCTAGGTCATGGTGGTCTCATGTTTGCCAGAACAGAACTGTATATTGGCTAATATCTCAGAAGATGAGCAGACCTCTTTCTTCTGAGGAACCTCTGGGGAGACTCCAATCTCTAACATTTAAATTTAACAATAGAGTATGTTCACCATCAGTATCATTCAAGAACTCTCCTGGTGTGGTGCTGTAGAATAAGCATTCGACCGCAAGGTCTGTTTCAACCCCAAGGTCAGCAGTTCAAACTCACCAGCAGTTCCATGAAAACCCTATACAGGGTTGCTATGAGTTGAAACCTACTCAATGGCAGTTAGTAAAAATAACAGTGTACGTATTAAACATCTGTAATCAGCAGACAGTGGGCTAGATCCCAGAGATGAAAGAAACATAGGCACAGTTCTTATCTCCACATGGGTCTCAGTCTTCTAGGGAAATGGCCACGCTTTGGGACGATTTCATATGTACAAGAAATGGTGTGTCACAGATGCAGCGAGGGGTTAAGAGGACCAGTACTGCTTGGGAGTTTCCAGGTAATAATATATCAAGCAGTAGCTACATAATCATGCCTGAGAAAATTATCGAACCAATAACAAAATAATGTACAGCATGTAAGAGAATGTGAAGTAAATGAGTTTATGTATTTTATTGTTAAACCGAGTGTTAAGATTGGTGGGGTTCTGAGTCATTTTGATACCATTTTGTTACAGAAAATACTGCAGTGAAATGTGTCTACACTTCGCCAAAATGAACACTGAGGAAAATGAAGAAAACTGAAGAATTCCAATCCAAAGTTACAGAATTGAAATAGTCACACTTCTCCGGAGTCTTTAATTTCTCCACAGCCATCATAAAAAGGTAGGGGAATAAACTGTGTTACAGTTTTGCCCTTTTATGTTTTACCAAATTTTAATGCAGTACAACAAAAGCATAAAATTAAATGTGCTTTTTGAACAAATATTAGGTGACATCTCTGTGCCTGTAAATTGTTTTGGTGGTGTGCCATGGAGTTGGTTCCAACTCCTAGCTACCCTGTACAGGTTTTCTGAGGCTGTA